CAGGCGACCTGTCCAGGGTGCAGTATGGTAGCTGGAATAGCAACATACCCAAGGATGAGCAGAATGACTGATATGATGAAACTGGGATTTTGTTACACTTAATTATTGCAAACAACTAAAACTATAACTGAAACTAATCAAAACTGAACTGAAACTAAGGATTTTCAAAAAAATAAAAACTAAACTAAACTAGCAAACAATTGGTAAAAACTAATTAAAACTGATATAAAATTGAAAATCTGAAGTCAAAACTAAATAAAAAATAAAAACTAATGAAAATTGCAAAACTATTAAAACCCTGGTGGGCGTTAAGGCGTCTCAAAACTGGATTATAGATGGCAGACAGTTGGTGTGGTAAGCCCCGCCCTTTGTTCAAAGATGGTCGCTCGTCTTTTAAACCAGTTCCTCTAAGAACTGAAGAAGCTTCTCGGATGAAACGAGGAAACCAGTCCAGATGCTTTTGTTTCCAAGCTCCTTAGACTACGATGAGCTGGATGACTGACAACCTTCACGCAGGCTTTTGTGTTCTTTTGGTCGTCTGCCACGTTTTCTCCTTATTGTTATGATCTTTATATCAGCTCTGTTCTCCTTCACCCATTCACATACACCTTCATGCTCTGATGGATGTGTCTGAGAGCAGCATTAGCATCTTCCCAACCTTCCTCTGACTCTGGAAAACACTCTGGTCATAAATCAAATCCTGGTAAAGCTTGTCCCGGGTTGTCGCCGTCCTCCCTCCCATCCACAGCGACCCAGACTGTGACACAATCAAGAGTCTGTATAGATGTACGCTGAACCTGCTCAATGTTTTCAAACAAACTCTTGTCGTTGGGCAGATTTCACAGTATTTCTGACTGTGGGAGTCACAGTGCAAACTGTGCACCTCCACATGCTGAGAAAATAATTATTAATTATCAGGAGCTGATATGAATGCAGCAGCTGGGAGGGGTGCATGGTTGCAGGAGCAGACGACCCTGAAGGAGGGATCAGTAGGTACTTCCACCATGGAAGTGATGGGAACAGCTGAATGCAGTGAGTTGGATGTGTGAGGGACTGTGTGCGTCGAGGTGAACGTATCAGGTGGAGTTTCCAGCAGAGTGCATGCAAAGGTGAGCCTGACAGAAGAGTCTGCTGGAAGTTTCTGATTTACTGAGGGAAGGAAAAGACATTTGGCTCAGGCATAGAAAGCTGCAGTGTTGAGCAAACGAGGAGTAGTTTCAGCTGTTACGACGCCATGGCTAACACAGCTATCCACACTTACATTCACACCTGTGGGCGACTTAGAGCCACTAGTGTCAGAGTCAGAGGAACGTTATTAACCCCAGAGGGAAGCTGGGTAACCCCAGCAGCTCCATGTGTTTGGAGGAATAGCTTTGGGACATGAAGGTGACAGTGAAGTGCGATCTCTGTAGGAGAACAAAAAGCATCGTTGTTTGAACGTGGCGCCCTGCAAGTATGCAGGCTGCACACGTATGTGTGCGTCGATGAGGCTGATTGTGTGCTCTTCCTCCTGCAGGCCTTACGGGTGATGGCAAAGATCATGAGGGAGTGCTGGTACGCCAACGGCGCCGCACGACTCACCGCTCTGCGAATCAAGAAAACGCTGTCTCAGCTCAGCCAGCAGGAGGGCATCAAGATG